CTTCCTTGATAATAAAATGAGCGTCATAACCTGATAAGTTATGAAAAACTATCGGAATATAATAGGAATCTGTATAATTTAAATTACAATTGGAATGTGCAGGACCCCTGTATTGCCTGGTTAAATGGCAATGATCGTACGCGTATATCCCCCACCGCGAATGATTTTTCGCATATATGACAGTGCGATGCGTNGAATTATAGCATGATATATAGAGATCACGCTTTTGAATCTCGAACGATTTGTAGAACGTCGAACAAGACAAGAGGAATATCAGAAAGCGGAACAATGATGGTCATTTTGTAAACGAGACCGTAGCTGATAGCAAGGGAGAAGACATATAACAGACAAAAAATGGAGTATGAGCATCCTTTCTCTCTCCCTCCCTCCCTCCCTTCACTCTCTCCTTCTCTACCCCTCCATCTCTCCCACCCTCTCTCTCTCGCTTCCTCCCTCTATCCCTCCCTATCCCCCCTCCCCCTCTCTCTCACTCCTCTCTCTCTCACTCTCTCTTTCATTTACTACGGCCTCGTCGACAATGGCATCAAGTTTAGAAGTCTCTCGAAAATCAACTGAAAATTATATCGTTTACTAACCACTGATCTAAAACTCTCAATAATGAATACAAATACAAAATTTGAAGTAATAAAATATTGCATAAAATAAAAAAGCAAAGACTTCAGAACTTAGAAAATTAAATAACTAAAATATATCATTAAATTATAAATCTGTAGGAAAACATTCATATATATTCTATTATATATATATAATAGAATATATATGAATATATATAATAATGATATATATATCATTATTATATATACTGAATGTATGAAATATTGAATGTATGGAAAACACAATTAAACCAAGATAATTAACCAACAAAAAATTAGAAAAATGCTAGTGAAATAATCTATTATTAATTCCAATCATAAAGATAGAAAGATAAAAATGAAAGCATACGAGACAGGTATACAAAACATAAAATAACATTTTTATAATGAAGAATATAACATTTACAAAAAGACAGCAATATTTAATTATATCAATGCTGCAAATTAACTGCAATTGTATTTCGGGCAAACTATTCCTCTACTACCACTTCAGGCTTGACGACTAAGTCGCCGGTCGCATATGAAGTGTTTTGCTTCAGGAAAATCTCCATATAAAAAATGTGTTAGAATTATATTTTTCGTCAAATAATCATTAATATTTTATCATAAATATTTTTAAAATTATATCATAAATATTTTTCTTGCACAATATTCTTATTTTCATAAAATAATTAAATAATTGAATGTGATATATTCATATGCAATTAATTTTCAACACTGAATTACATCAATAAAGTTCTAAAAACATACTTACCAAAGTATGAAGTTAATTGTGGAAGTATGAGGTTAATTGTGGAAAATATTCATACGTTATAAATATAACTTTTCCAATTACTAAAACTGTGCTGCAATAAATATTTAGATTAATTTAAATATATGCAATTTTTATAATACAATATTTATAAATACTTAATAATTTAATATTTATATAACTCAATATAACTCATAATGATCCAGTAAATATAATATTCTAACACAAGTATATAAAGATTTTACAAACTCACTGAGTTAACAATATATAAGAATAGCAAATTGCTATTTTTATATAACTTTATCTTTATTTTATTATCTTTGCATGTAAACAAGTTAAAAAAAATTTCATGAATATCTATTTTGGGACAGTTGAATATTTAATATATGCTAAAAATAGTATCTATTTTCAAACTGCAACTGAATATAAATTACATTATATTTAACTAACTGAAAGTAAAAATAATGTGAGATAAAAATTCTTGTATATTGTGCAAAGGCAAGATTGTCTAGCCAATAAGTGATGCAAAATAGAGTTATATTGCTGACATTTATATGACATATTACTGAAATGTAAGTCGTTATACACAAAAATCTATTCTTGAATCTTGTATACTGTAGTTATCATGATAAAACCGGGATTGTTAAGGGTTAAAGATATATAAAGAGTTCGCCCTATAACAATCCAAGTTTTATCATAATAACTATAGTGAAATTTATAAACATTTACATATAACAATTTACATCTCAGTAATATGTGTATGTTTCAAATCACTGGTAGGGATAAAAAAAGCTAGCAATTGCACAAGATACAACACTTACATTATGTATCTTATCTTTTTTATGTAACTTACGTTTTTCGTAATTTTAATTCTAACCTGTTTCAATAACCTTTTCCTTAAAAGCAGTATTTTTATCGATTTTTTGAATTTATGGACGATTCTCTTTTACTTATTAATAAACAATCTCTAAAACAATAATAAGATATTAATGATATTCCCAAGCAATGAGAAAGTCCGAAAAACCACGACAGAGACGTCCAACAATAACTATACGTCTTTGAACGTCTTTACGATATTTTACGATATTTTTACCTGGCTCGATTCTGTGATTAATATAAAATAGTATATATTTATAAGATTATTATACGTATATATGTCAAATTAGTCTGAATGGAAAGTCCCAGGATAAGGGCGTATGCATTCATAAAATAAGAATTGAACTAATTCATCAAAATATATTATGCAATTTGCGTGATCATGAAACACAAAACGTGATTATGAAACACAAAATATTAGTGTTGTATGCAAAAATGTAATTATAAAAGTTAATTTAGGTTAAAGAAAAAATACTTATGTGTGGAAAACAACTCGTGAGAAGTAAAAAGGAATGATGAGGAACGACACCAAACAACACACGTGTGATACAAATGACAATTAACCTCTGAAGTTCGATATACCGGAAACGAACACAATGCTGGGGGAATTGAACCTGCGCACCGGAAATGTTTGTCGCGCGACCGAGTAGACGTATCCATAAAGAATATCAAGGACCTTATTTTTGAAAATATGTGAAAAATATCGCACTCATGAATGTAGCAAATTTATTGGTCGAGAATTATGATATCTAGTGATACTCGTGAAATGTATACACAATATTTTTCGAGAATAGGGTCTATATGGGAGAATATATCTATATGGGAGAATAGTCTCTATATGAAATTAAATTATTCGGTAAAAGTAATAAATGTCATTAATGATTTCAATAAAAAATATTAAATGAAATTTTTCACTTTTATCACGAGCTTATACTAAAAAAAAGTTTTATGATCAATGTTCTGATTATGAATATGGGCCAAAATCATGCGAAAATCGATAAAAGATTAGATGTCGCTTAAATGTTTTTCACATTATCTGAAAAATATAATGTCAAAATCCTGTCATTGTTCAGCTGATAAATATAGTACTGTATTTATATCAATATAAGATGTATTGACTCGATTAAGTATGATATCAACTATATACCCATACGGAACCAAATATTTAATGGACATTCATTAGATGTCTCATAGAGATTTAATATCTAATGAAAGTTGAAGACGTCATCTACATTAAAGCTTTAAGAAATTAAACCAATCATAATTGACTATTACAAGAATGCTTTTAGGAAAAATTACTTTACGATTCCAATTAACGAAAAGTTATTTATAGTTAACTGTAAGTAATTTATAATTAACTATAAGTTACTTTATATAATTATTAGTAACTTTAAGTTAATTTTAACATCTTAAAGTAATTTTTCCTAAGGGTAATGCCAATAGAATTAGTCATTTTTTAAAGCTTAAGTCTTAAACTCTATTGTAAACTGAGGTTAATAGATAGTTGTTCAGTATGGATACTTAATAGATCATTCACTAATTGGTATTCACTTGGTGAATTGTCGAAGAATAGATTATCGACAATTGATTGATTCCTACATGAATAACTTCTAAATATCATATTAAAAATGATATTTAAAGATGTTAAATCGTCTATTGATATTACCACAATAACAATTCTTTATTTCTTGCTGACTTCAAATTCATTTACTACAGTCACATAATAATATATCTAATTGTATCCCTTTGTGGTAAGATATGCAAAATTGGAACCATACAATAACAAAAATTAATATTACGTAATATTACGGTAATATTACGTTATGAGTACATGGAAAGAAATTTGTATCTTGCTTAATATTACAAGGACATCAAATAGATGTTTATATCCACAATGGATATTCTGTAGATATGGATATATGGATACCAAGTGAATGTCTAATAGATATCCACAATGGATACTCCTGTGAAGATGGATATATGGATACGAAGTATATGTCTAATAGATATCCACAGTGGATACTCTATGGACATGGATATATGGATACCAAGTGAATGTCTAATAGATGTGCACAGTGGTTACTCTATGGACATGGATATATGGATACCAAGTGGATGTCTAATAGATATCCATAATGGATACTCTATGGACATGGATATATGGATACCAAGTGGATATCTAATAGATATCCACAGTGAATACTCTATGGACATGGATATATGGATACCAAGTGGATATTTAATAGATATCCACAGTGGATACTCTATGGACATGAATATATGGATACGAAGTAGATATCTAATAGATATTCACAGTGGATATTCTATGGACATGGATATATGGATACCAAGAGGATGTCTAATAGATATTAATAGTGGAAATTCTGTGGACATGGATATACGGATATCAAGTGGATATCTAGTAGATATCCATTGTGGATATGGACATAATATGGATACGTAGATATCCATTAGATATCTATTAAATATTTTGTTCCGTGTGGGTATTAATCTATAACGCTGTTATTTTGGCGGAACGTAACTTGTGTAGCTTTGAGGTTAATGTCAGTAGAATAAAATGACATATGTATCAAATCATAACATTGCATACTTATGGCTAGTGACATCTGTTATAAAAACCGGCAAGTAATTACCGACATACCTGGTAAATATAACCTGGTAAATATAAAACATTGATTTTACCACCTTTAGGTATGTATATATCGCGTCTTAATATACTGCCTCTTGACTTATATATATCACCTCCACGACCTCGACCTCGACTTCTTATTCCTCTGCCTCTCCCTGCTCGGTGCCATCTGGATGATCTTGGAACAAATTATTTGGTATATGTATTGGTATTTGGTATATATATGTATATATATATATATATATATATATATCAAATAATTTTATATATATATATATTTTATATAATATATATATATTATATAATATAATATATATGAATATATATATATATACGACAATTATATATAATAAATATATAGTATTTACTTTTCTTTCTACAGTATATAAAATAAATATCCCAGACACCACATGTTGACCTATGGACGTCCTAAGGATGTTCTGAGAATGAAGAAACGTCCTCAGGATGTCCTCAAGACATACTCTGGACATCCTCTGAACATTTGTGCTGTTAGGGATAGTATTTACTCTGCTTCTGCTATTTCTATTGACTTTCTTTCTTTCTATTAAATTACTATTATCTTTTGCTGCTGCTGTTTCTGCTGGTGCTGCTACTGTTTCTGCTGATGCTGTTTCTGCTACTGCTGTAATATTTGTGGTGGTGGTAACGGTGGTGGTGACGGTGGTGGTGGTGGAAGTAGTGGTGGTGGTGGTGATGCTACTGTTACTGCTGCTGCTACTCTTGCTGAAGCTGCCAAAGAAACTAGTGTATTTTTAACATTTTCTATTTCCTTATTCAAAAATAAGATCTCTTTTAGATCTTTTACACTCCTATTGTCTCTCCCAATATTTTCGTCTACGTTCATCTGTAGAGTATAAAATGTCTATGATTTAACTATTCTTATATAATGTTTAATTTATGCATACTGAATTGTATGTTATAAGTAATACAGTAAATAATATAATATTTCAATATTGTTTGTGCTTTTCAAAGGCTGCGATAACAATAAAATATAAAAAGTGATACTTTAAAATTCATAACACTTAAAATAAAGTTAGCATCTGATAATATACAATTTAATGTATTTTAACACATTCTGAATGGCATACTACAACTTTATATCATTACACAAATCTCTTGTACATATTAGTGATCCATCAATAGTAATCCATGTGGTAAAATACAGTTTATTATAGATTACTAAGGTGTACGAGAGATTTGTGTAATGATATAAAGTTACAGCGTGTCAGTCAGAATATGTTAGTATTAAGTTGCATATTATCAGATACTAACTTTATTTTAAACATAATGAATTTTAACGTATCACCTTCTATATTTTATTGTCACCACAGTCTTCAAAAAGCACAAATGTGTGTAATTGAAGTATTACTTATTGTATCACTTATCATAACAAATAAGAAAAGTTATATGAAATATATATAATATAATACACTATTATTATATATTATATTTAATTACTTGCTATTATCTCATCTTGCATGGCTTGATTTGGCGATGCCATTATCCAAATAATATTTATACTGTACAAATAAGTGCATAAATGAAAACATCTTTTAACAATATTTGAATCACATAACAATAATAAAGGTTACATGAAATTAAATGTAACATAATACGTCATATATAAAACTGGTACATATAATATTATATAACCTTTACTATTACCTTACTATTACCTTCATTATTAACCTTTACTATTACCTTTACTATTTATTATATCTATTTAACTATTCTTATACGATGTTTAATTTATGCATACGTTGTACTGATTTGTACACTTTTGTATACTTCAATATTGTTTGAAATTTTCAAAGATTGTGGTAGCAATAAAATATAGAAAGTGATATTTTAAAATTCATAAATTTTAAATAAAGTTAGTATCTGATAATATGCAACTTAATGTATTGTAACACATTCTGATTGACATGCTGCAACTTAATATTATTACACAAAATTCTTGAGCACGTTAGTAATCCATCCAAAAGGTTTGTGCAATGATGTAAAGCTACAGCGTGTCAGTCAAAATGTGTTACAATACATTAAAATGTGTTACAATACATTAAGTTGCATATTATCAGGTACTAACTTTATTTAAACGTTATGAATTTTAAAATACACTTTCTACATTTTATTGCTACTCTACAACCTTTGAATACAGCGTAAAAATTAGTATGCATGAATTAAGTGTCAAATCAGAATTAAACAAATTTATAAATAGTAAAAATTATATAAAGTTATATGTATCAGTTTTATATGTGACGTATTATGTCACATTTAATTTCATATAACCTTTATTATTTATTATCTGATTCAACTATTCTTAGATGATGCTTTCATTTATGTACTTATTTGTACTTATTTGTACAGTATTGTACATTTATGTATTTATGTACTTATTTGTACAGTATTCAATATTATACATATTTGTACTTTTCAAAGGCTATAGTGACAATAAAATATAGAAAGTGATATGTTAAAATTTATTACGATTAAAATAAAATTATCGTCTGATAATATACAATTTAATGTCTTGTAACACACTCTGACGGCTGTAATTTATAATAATCATTATATAAACCTCTTGTATATGTTAATGATCTATATAGGAAGATACAGTTTATTTTATACATCACTAATATGTATGAGAGGTTTGTGTAATGATATAAAGTTACAGCATGTCAAATCAGAAAGTGTTACAATACATTAAAATGTATATTATCAAAGGATAACTTCAGTTTAAGCATAATGATTTTTAACACGTTGATTGCCAACTACGAGATATCTCGTAGGTTGTTTACTTGCCCAGAACGCCTACTACGAGTTATCTCGTCCCTTCATTACTTGCCATATTTGTACAGCTATGAGGAAATTCGTAGCATAACGGTGTAAATATGAATAAATGGCCTCAGGAAAGAGAATAAAAAATATTAAAAAAAACACATTTTTTGATTATTTTTGATTATTTTTGATTATTACTATGTACTATTATTAAAGTTTTTAATAATGTAACATGATTAAATCAAATTGGCTCTTTAGACCGGAAAAATTCGTGAAAAATTCCGTGGCAGTCAACGTGTTAAAGTATCAATGTATATTTCATTGTTACCGCAGTCATCGATTATTTATTATATTAATTAGACAGTACAAAATGAAAAATGGAAGCATCAACTAAGAATAGTTTATTAGGTAATAACAAAGGTTATACGAAATTAAATTTCAAGTTATATACTAACGAAAATCAAAAACAAGCGCAGTTACAATAACCACACCCAACTGCCACGAACGTGAACAAAAAAAGTCTTCTTCTTCTTCTCCTTCTTTTTCTTCTTACAATGGCCACTCAAATCGATGTATATAATTGTAAGTCGATCGTAAATCAATGTAACACATCGATCAATAAGTCCCGGGACTAACCAACAGAAGGCGCCTCTAATAACAAATCCATACCATTTTCAGTTAGTACCAACCTTTAGAAGTTACGTGTCAAAATTTCATGACATTCCGACATTGTGTCATTGAGTTACAGTGGTTTTAGTGACACTACACCGTGTCACAAGTCGATGGTAACGATGGTCAAATTGCATGAATTGAACTTCGAATTGCTTCCACACCCACCGTATTCTCCAGATTTGGTCCTCAGCGATTATTGGCTGTTCGCAGACCTCAAAAAGATGCTTCAGGGAAAGAGATTTGGCTCCAATGAAGAAGTAATTGCCAAAACTAACGCTTACTTTGAAACCAAAGATCGTTCTACACGGCTGGCAAAGAAAAGTTAGGAAAGTATTGGAATGAATGTATCGCTCTTGAAGGAGACTATGTTGATGAATAAAGAAGAATTTTGACAAACAAATGTTGTTTTAGTAGTTAGTCCCGGGACTTATTGATCGATGTGTTATATTGAATGGTCTATGAATATGTATTTATATGAATGATGTACTTTTAACTGACCGTTTTGTAGCCGCGTGACCTCGTGACGCCTTCTAATAGAAATAAAGTCAGTCGGACATTTGTTGAACTATTCGTAAATTTCACGATTTCGTACTATGGGAATAAATTTCTAAGCTCACAGGACATGTACAGCAAAAATGAAAATAGTGTTACGTCCTGCGGACTCCGCGTACTTTGAATTCGTTGTCAAGTAGGGCGGATTGGATTTTATATTATACGACCAAATGTTCATGTTCCGCGATCCTCCGAGAACGGTGACGACACATACACAGATTTCTTTTTTTTCTCTCTGCTTTAATCACCGGAGTTTCCTCTATTTTCGTCGGAAAAGATCCGCCGAGTTATTTTAGCCATATATCTTCTCTCCAAATAACCTTGAATAACTTCCTGTTCGGAGCAACAATTTTGTTTGAAGACGGACCGACCAGACAGTCTTTCATGCTGTTATATGATATTACTAACCTTTGATCTTCGGAAACTCATGCGTTCCAACGTTATTCATAAATTTTTATTGCGCACAATCTCTGACTAACCCTAGCGGAACCTTAAAGTCTTTTATCACCATAGATACCCGATCTTTTATCATATTTATCTCAGGCCTCCCTAAAACCCCACTTCCGAAAAGTTTTGCAACAAAATCCTATACCCATATTTGGACATAAACTTTGGAGCCTGACGCAACTTCCAAAACCCCACCCTCTCGACCGAGGTGACGTTTTTAGTAAAATGAAAAAGCTATGCCACTTCTACTTCTCCTCTCGACCGACCCGCAGCCAGGACAGAGTCTTCTTCCCAACACCCCTTCAGGGTCTCTTAACAACCAAGCTTACTAGTGACTTAGGCAGATCGGAGTTCTTCAGTTGTTAATTCTTTTGTGCAACGATCTCGTGCGTTCTTGGGGCATTGCGAGCGATCCTACTGAAATCAGTTTCCTGTTCTTGGCGAAAAACTTGGGTCCATCCTCACAGACACGTAGCAATTACACTTTTCATTGTCGACTAAGATCATAGAACCAGCAGTAAGTTATTTATATTTTCTTTTGCCTGAGTGATCCCTTTCCTTTTAATTTTTATCTTTTCTTCTCTCTCTTTTTTTCCTTTCTTTTTCTTTCTCTTCCCTATCCTTCTTGGCATTCCGTCCTAATTGTTAAATCAGGTGCCAGTGGCCAATCTTTTCGATCACAGTCGGACATAGCGAACACGGAATTTTGCTCAGACCGCGATTGTTTATACATATCAGGTGTAGTAAAAAGAAATCCATTATTTTTCCAATAGATGGCTTTAGTTTTCTGTATCTCGCGTTGTATAAGTCCGATCGGGTTCCACTAGATGGCGTTAGAAAAATGAGATTTCGTACTAAAAAAACTTTTTGACAGTTTTGTGATTAGTTGACTCAATTTTGTTTGAGCGCGCGTCAAAGATGGACACTAGCAAAGAGAAAATATGCTATATTTTACAGTTTTTCTTCGATAAAGGCGAAAACGCAAGCCAGGCGGCTGAAAATGTGAATAGTGTTTATGGTCCTGATACTGTAACAGCCAATCACGCGCAATTTTGGTTCCATCGATTCCGTTCCGGTAATTTCGATGTCAAAGATGCACCACGCACTGGAAGGCCAATTGTCGAAAATATCGATAAAATCATGGACATTGTCGAGTCCGACCGTCATGTAAACACTGTTTCGATTGCCCAAGAGCTAAAGATTGCACAAAAACCGTTTGGAACCATTTGAATAAGGTTGGATACAAAAAGAAGCTCAATGTATGGGTGCCACACGAGTTAACGAAAAAAACCTCATGGACCGAATTTTCATCTGCGAATCGCTGCTGAATCGCAACAAAATCGACCCATTTCTGAAACGGTTGGTCACTGGTGATGAAAAGTGGATCACTTACGACAACGTCAAGCGAAAACGGTCGTGGTCGAATCGCGGTGAGCCGGCGGAAACGGTGGCCAAGCCAGGATTGACGGCCAGGAAGGTTTTGCTGTGTGTTTGGTGGGATTGGCAGGGAATTATCTACTATGAGCTGCTCCCCTACGGCAAAACTCTTAACTCGGAACTGTACTGTCAACAATTGGACCGTCTGAAGGAAACAATCGCCCAGAAGCGGTCAGCTTTGGCCAATAGGAGAGGAATTGTGTTCCACCAGGACAACGCCACACACATCGATAGTGAC